TAAGTTTCTTTTTTATTTATTTATTTATTTATTGACAATGAAACAGAACATTACACTGACTCTCAGGGCAGCAAAGCTGATATTAGAGAGTCAACATATAAGGACAAAACACAAAGGGCACATAATTTCAATACAATATGAAATACAAGAACAATCATAACCTAAACTTAACCTGTATCAATCTGATTAATTAAGTACATATATATACATAATAAAAATAACGTATTTGGAGGTCAGAGGTCCAGAAAAAAATATATACAGTACTACCTCATAAGAGAAAATTGGTACATAAATAACAAGGCTAGGAGGAACAGCTGGAAGTGCCTAGAAACGGTTTGTTGAAGTGATGTAGGTGTGGAAGGCGTGTGAAAGTTTCTTTTTTGATGATTTCTGTTTTACCATACAGACTTGTAAGATTATGACATTGTTTTACGCTGTTCCTTAGACTACCAGTAAAATTGTGTATCAATATCTGGTAAAATACCTGGGGCAAAATATCTAATCATCAAAACCTACCCACATAACAAATACAATACACAACTTTTTTTAGTTATGTTGTTTACAGACAGAGAGACAGACAGACAGTTGGCCCCGACAAGAACCTTCTTGACAAAGGTAGAAATTCCAAGGATACTTGAACAAATGCATATGTTGAGAGTTAATCTCAGCATGAAGTAGTCAATACATCAATAAACAGAGAAGACAATCACCTGTAACACAGCTAACGGTATACAAATAAGGGAAAGACTTCAAGCTGTAACATACCATACAGGTACTACTGTGAGCACATGAAGGTACAGACATCAATTTATGGAATAAACCAGAGTGGCAGACGTGTTAAGGGTGAATACATTTATCTCTTTACAAGGATGCTGTACATGTACATACGAAGTCATCAGCAAGAACGTTTAATATTATGTACAATGTAGGTGCCGGCAAAAGCTTAACAAACAAAAGCAGGGTGACACATAAGAGGTCAACCACGGCCGATGGCATGTGCGAATGGTATCTACCACGCAGAAATCGCGGCCATCATAGCATGTCCACAACACATCAAAACCGTTAACATCGTAACTAGTACCCTATAACAAGACATTAGGGGGCTCAAAAATCTATTCATATGAGGTTTCAACCAGACCTACCCACCTACCAAACATCATTTAGATTTCTTTATTATCTTATTTATGCTGTTTTCAGACAAACACATAGATGGCCCCGAAAATACAACCTTCTTGATAAAGGTAAAATGTGTGTTAGTGTTATTGTTCAGAAAAAGGGGACATGTCTATAAATTATGTGATTTTAAGCTCCTTGACTATACGATACGAAGGGCATCTAATAATCAAAGTAAAGTTACCATCTTAACTAATTAATCTTAGTAAGAAAATCTCTCCATATTGTTGATACTTGATACTTTATAATACTTATGAAATTATGTTGCTCATAACTAATCTAATCATTTCGAGGTCTCATCAAGACCTTCCCACATACAACATATCCATAAATGGCTTCTTGAGTTATTTCGTGAGTCTTGCTAACATACAGACAGGCAAAACGAAACAAAGATCGTCCCGAAAACAGAACCTCCATTCTAACACGTTATTTTCTCTCCAATAAATGTATTTATGAGAGATAATGTGAGCCCATAAGTTAACACATTTTATCTACAAGTAGACAATCAAATGTCACGCAACTAAGCTGTTTTACATATCATACAGGTCGTGCCACTGAGAGCACATAAAAGGTACAAACTCAACTTATACAATAAACAGGAGTTAACCGCAGACAATCATCCGTTTCACAAACAACGGTATCAAATAACACATAACATACAGGTCTTATCACCTAAAGCATATAGAAGGTACAAACAGTAAATTATGAATACAATAAAACATGAAATACAAAGAGTTAACATGATGCAGCAGACAACCAATAGTATACAAATTGGGTTGTGACTCAAATGTGTTTTTCACATATTGCCGAGACCTGCACACAAACAACAGCAGCTGTCTTCACGACTTCCCGGCAAAAGAAGACATTCTGTCTCGCTTGGCAGGAACATCTGGCAGGTAAGTTTAAGAGGTAAGCCTCTCCTATTGTACCATCATGGTTAAGCATCAAAATCTACTATGGGGTAGGCCTAGGGACATTATATTATTGTTAACTTTTTGTGTTCCAACTAGAAACACTAGAACAGAAAAATGGATTTTGACTGAAACAATCATTTTTCCGGGTCTTGAGAAAAAATCTTAACCAATTTATTGTAGCTTTTATGATAATAGTGTCCAATAAGACATGCTAGAATGGTAACACGCATTTCATTTCAGAAAAATGGATTTTGACTGAAACAATCATTTTTCCGGGTCTTGAGAAAAAATCTTAACCAATTTATTGTAGCTTTTATGATAATATTGTCCAATAAGACATGCTAGAATGGTAACACGCATTTCTATTTATATTGAAAAATACCGAGTATACATATATGCTGGTGTAGACGTCAGATAAATGGTGTGAGGAAATAGATTATGACAATCTTGTAGGTAAAGTCCTTGTAATGTCGTAAATCATGAAATCCTACTGACGGAACTACAAGTTAATGTTAGCTGCTGCTTGGGTCCGTTACTTTTCTGTGTACACAACATATTGCTACATATAACATTCCAACAGAGTGATGAATGCCAACCACACAACTTCTCCAGCTTACTCTCACACTCTGCAGTCTGACACATACAAATGGATAATGGGTAGAGTATAATGGACATGCATTGAATGTTAGCAAAATCACTATTTCTATAGGTACAGGGTAGCCGCCAAAAATGTAAAAAGAATATCAAGTTACATTCACATCTTTCCAAGGACAGTCAATCTACAGAACAAATAGAACAGGCAAAACTGTTTGGTACATTGATGGACACCTAAAGTTGAATCAAAATCAAGAAATGTCATCACAAGGACAACATTAATGGTTATTATTTTTAAGTAGATCTAATATACTGTCACTTCTTGGAATACATAGAACACCATTCTGTTCTACGTACTGCCCCCTTGTACTAAATTACACCTTAACACAGTACAAATTCTTTAAAACAGAGCAGTGAAATATTTTTAATGGTGAGTAGACTGTGGGCATATGCATGACTTATTTTTTTATTCCAACATTTCATGACTAGACATAGTGACGGCACACTCAAGTTAGTATATCAGCGTATTTATGCCGCTACCAACACAGTGTACAAATACAAGACAAGGACAATCCTCATGTTCACCTTTCGCTTTTTTCTCGGTCGAAAATGTCTCCCATAGCGATAAGCATTAAGGTGCTTTAGGTGATTGGGACTTGCCTTAGCCAACCGATTTTCCAACGTGATGGCGACCTGCGCTATTCTCTGCCTATGACAATCGCGTCAATTTTGAGCGTGTGGCGAAAAACGTTTTTGGTAAAAACTGCTTAGAAATCTTGATGTAATCGGTCAGTTTGCCAATTTTGATCTCAACAACATGGCAGTCTTTGCCCGATGTAAAATGGCACCGGCTGGGTCACTTTGGGTAAATTAGGCAGCCTACTGTAAAATGAGTGGACATTTCAGTTTTCTTGTTCTCTGTACTATATCTTGTTACCAACAATACTGTGTGCCACTGACTTTTGTCTGTACAGAAGTATATATCAATGTTCAAGGATTCTGTCCGGTAAAATAACAGAAGTAAATCTACAGTAAAAATACACACAGACAAATTTCTCTAATCTCCAAGCAGATCTTTTGGTGGATGCAAAGACAAAAACAAATTGGCAGGTTGCATCCATTAGCCAGACAGTTACAATTTCGCCACTGAAGACCGACAGAAAGTTGCACTGGAAGGTTATTCACCGGCAAGAGGAGGGGCAATCTTTTTTAGAATTAAAACTTGTCAAAAACTTGTTTCTGCAACGCCTCGTGCCTACTTAACTCCAACGTGAGAATTTGAAGGGATAATTCAAACCAACCTCTCCATGCCCGTCTCTGGGACAAACGCAGTGAGTCGCGCAAGTTCACAGTGGGAGCTTCCCCTGATACAGAAACTTCTTTGGAGATTGCCCGCATCACAATGCAAAACAAACGTATTGGCACTTTATAATCCCAAGTTGTATTTTATATCTCAACCGATTAAGATATCTCTTCATTAATTCATTACTTGGTGTGTCATTTTGTACATGTATCCGTCAGTTGGAATCTCTTTTACCGAATGTCTTACCACGGCGGTCTGTTACTACGGTATTCTTTCCCAGCGCAGCGTTCGAAAAAACGCAATTTTGGAACAACTCTAGGCTAACTGTAAAACTGTTAATTGCAGGTGTGCAGAAAATAATATTCTAAGCCCTTTCACAGAGTACAAAATTAATGTAACTATCATAACTATACTTAAATACATATCATACATAAGCCTTAGATGTGTGACCCTGACCTCTCCACGTTGATGTATTTTATTGTTATAAATGTATGTGTAAATGTTTGTCTTCACAGCAGGGCAAGCCCTTAATAATAGCCGCCTGGCTAGTTGAGCTGCCCTGGCTGTACAATTTGTCTTTTTATACAGCAGAATAAATAAATAAATAAAATAAATAAACATAACCATACTTGTAATGCACCTATGCAGAGCCTAATCACAACAGCATGGATAAAGAACAAGCAGGTGTGCTGGTATTGATTCTGGTCATCCTGACGGCGTCTGGACCAACAGAAGCCTCCTGTACCTGTTCACGACCTTCCGACTGCAACTGTGACTGGCTGAACCTCACTAGCGTTCCACAGAACCTACTGAAACCACATGATATCAGGCACTTGTCTCTAAGACATAACCTTATCACTACTTTACATAAGTCTGATTTCTCACAGTACAAATTGAACTGTTTAAATTTGAGTGGCAATCGTATCACCACAATCAATAAAAACGCATTCTGTTCCTTGTCAAATTTGGCAACTTTACGTCTTGACAATAACTTACTTACAATCCTAAAGCCCTACATGTTTAGAGGATTAAGACAGTTGCTAAAACTGTATCTGAAGAAGAATGACATATATGATATTCAGACCGGGACGTTTAGTGCTACAGTGAAACTATGGCACTTATACCTGGATCAAAACAATCTAACGAATCTCAGATCTAACATGTTTACAGGATTACAATATTTGCAAAACCTTTCCCTGAAGTATAATAACATCAACGACATTCAGGCTGGAACGTTCAGTCCAACTTCGAACCTTAAATCGTTGCACCTAGATATGAACAAACTATCAGGTCTCAGATTTGGGATGTTTACAGGGTTGGGGAACTTACAGGAACTCCATCTAGAATGTAATGTTATCAATACTATTCAGACTGGAACTTTTAATTCAACTTCAAACCTTATATCTTTGAACTTTTATATGAACAAACTTCCTAGCCTCAAATCTGGCATGTTCATAGGCTTGGATAACTTGAAAAGACTGGGTTTACAATGGAATATCATCAGTGACATTCAGGCTAAAACATTTCTCTCAACACCACAACTAGAAGACTTGTATTTATATTGCAACAGACTAACACGGCTCGGATATAACATGTTTATAGGATTAAGAAACTTACGGAGTCTCCGTCTAGACGATAATGATATCAGTAGCATTCAGACTGGAACTTTCAACCCAACTACAAACCTTATCTCTCTGTACCTACCTACAAACGAACTTGCAAAACTCAGAGCTGGGATGTTCATAGGGTTAAATTACTTAAAGCGTCTCACTTTATGGTGTAATAACATCAGTGACATTCAATCTGGAACATTCACAGGTCTCGGAAGTCTCTCTTCCCTTAATTTGGGTGAAAACAGGATCAAAGTGTTACCCAAGATGGTCTATAGAGAGCTGTCATCAATATCTAATGTTAACATCAATAACAACCCCTGGCAGTGTGACTGTAAGATACTTCCATTTAGGACACAAATGACCGGGTCTTATGAGTTTGAAAACCAGATGCTTTGTTCCCATCCTGCCAACTTATTGGGGCACAAGCTTAAAGATCTTGATCCTGTAGATCTAATTTGTGAACCAACTATTGTGAGATTTGAGAGACACAAAGATTATAACACGTCAACACAGGGGCAGAGTTTGGTGTGTGAAGCTTCAGGTTTCCCCACACCAGACATCACAGTGACTCTCCCATCTGGACTGAACAAAACTGTACAGTCAGGGGGGTGGGTGACTGTAGGTACCAACAGTACCGTCACTATAGACGTTACTGCAGATGCTGCTGGTCTGTACGTCTGTACTGCAACAAGTCCTGTTGGTTCTACATTTGCTTCACTGTGTGTTAATATCCACCTAGACAAACCCACATCTTTTACGTTAGAACAAGACCTGCACAAGCCTACAACTTTTACAATAGAACCAGATCCTGGCAAGCCTAGAACTTTTACAATAGAGCCAGATCCCGCCAAGCCTACAACCTTTACAATAGAGCCAGATCCTGGCAAGCCTACAACCTTTACAATAGAACCAGATCCTGGCAAGTTCACAACTTTTACAATAGAACCAGATCTGGACAGGCCCACAACCGTCTTATTTGAACCAGCACTCAAATCTTCACCAGGTCTTACTGTTCCCCGAAACTTAGGAAAACCAGAAAACAGCAATGGTGAGGGATCTACTCTACGTTTCTCCCCAACTGTTCTCGCTCTTGTTATTTCCGCAATATCTGTCACTATCTGTATTGGAGTCGGCATTCATGTCCTGAAATGGTACAAAAGGAGGACCAAGAACCCTCATTCATATACAACCCCCGGTGTTATTGTAAACAACCCGTCTTCTGGAACAGCTAGCCATGGTCAAACAATAGTGTCTCCGGCTGAAATTAGATCTTTGGACAGAGACCCACAGTATAACTCAGGGACAGATGTCTCACTGCATACGTATGAAGATGTGGATAATTTGTCCCCAGTAGGTCCTACAAACCTAAACTCTAATGCACACGTACCAGCCAGTCACAATCAGACAACATTGGGTGAGTCTCGGGTTGTCACAAAATCAATGATGAACCCTCAGTATAACACAGAAAGACCTATGTCACAGCATACATATGAAGATGTGGATAATTTGTCACCAAAAGACCATGCTGGATCAACCTCTAACGGCAGCACACCCACAAACAATACATGTGATGTAACTATCCAAGATCATACATATGAGAATGAGAATATGTTACCGAAAAATACAATTACAGGCTCTCATGTTGTAACAACTAAAACAGCTTATCCTATAGCCAGCCAAGATGAGACAGGTTGTTATCAGTCTGAGAATATACGTAAATCCTCAAACCCACACTATGACTCAAGGACTGCTGTCTCCAATCAGTGTCATTATCTGTACACAGATACATCCCTCAAAATGAAAAACAACACAGTTACTGTTACAGCCAGTCAAGAGACAGAATCGGGTTGTTATCAGTTGAAGACTATATGTAAATCCTCAAACCCGCACTATGACTCAAGGACTGCTGTCTCCAACTAGTGTCATTATCTGTGCAAGGATACATCCCCTAGAAACTAAGATTTAACAAGTTGTAGGACTTAAAGACAATCAATGATAAATCCAAGATGAATGGATGAATGATAAAACAAACTGATATTAACATATTTAGTGGTAACCCTCAGTTAGGCGTACTATATGTACAAACTGCATATACTACGTATACCAGACTAAGGTTTGATCAACTTATGGGGATGGATCTCTTACTTTTGTTTTGATTAGTGTGTTAGAGATATTTGGGGTGTAACTCTCTTAAACACGGGACCTTGAACTTCACGTCCCACACAAAAAAGGACTAGTGCTCATAATTACCTAAGTCTTGTTGGGAAATATAATGTTAAGCTCCTACACATAGGGCAGTCAACACCGGAGACTGCTATGGGTTTGCTCAAGAGAGAATTAAATTATTATAATATTAATAAGCTTCTAGTGATGCCCCTTAGTCCCCCACCCCTCCTCCTGAAGAAGCAACATGTAAGAACAGGCAGCACATTGCAGGTTGCACAACAATCTTGACACCCACACATCACGGCGGTCTGTCACTACGGTATTCTTTCCCATTGCTAGGCGCGTTCTAAAAGGTTTCGGGTTACAAGACGCTATTTTGGCCTGTTTTGGACTACCCGTAAAATATTTGAAAATAAACAAATACTATTTAGTGGTAAATTTCGTCAAATTAAAATGAAAATATCGTCTTAACATCCTGTAAATGTTAGCTTTTTTATGTTAAATAACTGATTTTAAAAAATTTTGCTCAGAAAGACGATTATTTTTGGGTTTCCGAGCACAAGTCATGTCACGTTTTTAGGCAAAACATCGTTCAAACCTGGCTACGTATATTGCACCAGATCCTCGATTTTTATATTTTTCGCTCACTACGGATAAGATCAAAAATCGTGTTTTAAGTCTAGTTTTTGTCGACATATTGGTAGAAAAAAAATGCATTTTTTGACATTTTTCTCACTAAATTACCCATAATTCAAAATTGAGGCCATTTTTTAAAAATCCCTAAAACACGATTTTCGGGACAACCGTGACAGTCATTTTGAGCCGTAAATGGGGTATGCTTGACTCTCCATGTTTCCAGGTTTGAACGAGTTTTGCAGACATGTCATATCGCCAGAAAGTGTGCATTGTGTTATTCATACAGGCGTAAAGAATCATTACAGTATTCAAGGTCACCCAAGGATACGACAGTAGCTTCGCTACATGTTATACCCACCAAAAATGATAGCGGACATGTACTGTCCAGGAAACTGATTGTATCTATAGAAAAGTGTTGTTTTTTATCTGTTGCGAGGCACTCAGGCAGAAGGGCTTGTTTTGCCGCTTTGTTGTAAATGACCGCAGGAGTCATGGAAATGGAACGCGGGTTCGATTTGAATTGTCCAGATCGAACACGATCGAACACAGTTCGGATTCTATGAAATGTGGGAACTTTGCAGCCCAGATTTTACCACCGTGCATTTAGCACACTGAAACAAATGTCACCCATTCTTTACAAGCAACTATCCTAAATATTTTACCCTAACACTCAATGTTGTATTAAAATACATGACTAAGGGATTAAACGGCTAACAATCCTTTTTTTCCAAAGAGAAACATGAAGCTTCTTAGCTGTAGTGTACTAAGGTTACAGCATACTAATATAAGTAGAAGCCAATGATAATTTTGGAATTGTTCTTTGCTCATTATTGTTAATATGATATTACTGTCCTTTAAATGAGGGATAAATGGTGAACATTGAGCAGAGAGCGTGGAGAAATTTTCCTTTATTAAATGATAAATGATAAGTACACAGAAGACAAAAAACAACTTAATGTGTCAAGGTTTTGAGAGACGTTGCAAGGGAAATGTTTACACAAAGTAGAACGAAAATTTAATATTCTTTCCATTTTCATAATTCAAAAAATATTCATTATAGTTTTATTACTTTGACAACAGTGAAAAGAACCTTGTATACCACCTCTTCTAAGAGCATTTGAATTGCTCATGAATAATCACTTTATGTGACAGTAAGATTTAACTACCAGGAATTGCTGAGGTGTATTATTTTTTAAAACAGGACATTTCCAGATTGAATAGAAATGGCATTTAAAGTTATTGTTCTTAGGACAATAATTATTGCTGTAACAAGTGCGTAACAAGTTGGCAGCATGAAAACATCTTATTTTATGGAAGTGTTTCTAGATGACGATTGAAATATGTTACTTGAAAACATCCTGCCATGAGTTGTCAACAGTAAGTACATACACGTATCTCCTGTGAGTGTACACATATGGTATATGGTTTTCACTTATTGTTCAAAATGAGTTTACAGCGAATGTTTATATAGATGTATGCATCAAAAATGGGATGAAACTATTACAATATCAGAGGCAAAAATTTTTTTTATATATTATATTTCTACTGGTTTTAGGCAGTAATTGTGAGAATATCACTACAGGGTGTTTTAGGAGTTTATCATTTGATTTAAACTATCTGTACTGATTAACAACTGCAGTAAATTGAAATAGCGTTTGAAGACCCAGTAACAGCTTTGACAATAAAGCAGCAAATGTGCAAATATGTTGGTGTTCATGTAATGGCCAATAAACAATGGCATTGAAAGTTTAAGACTGACTTTGAGACTCATTTTGGTATAAACAAGACTTCGGAGATCTCATACCATATGTAGAGTTGATATAATATAATTTATCCTAAATTATGGAAATAAGGTCGTAATTATCATAATCTAGTTCAATGTAAATATCTTGCTTGTCAAATTTCTATCCTTTTAAATATTTCAATTCAACATGTTCTCAACAGTAATGTAAGTCTTTTAGTTACTTACACTTTAGTTGTTACAAGGTATAAAATTCCCATCACTCATCAATAAGAAATCGCTGCATTTTCACATTAATTTTGCAGATTAGGTCATTATTTGCATAATTGGTATCTGTTGATGTCCTACCTACAGAAGATTACATATATTACACGAATAAAGTACTATTATATGCATATAATTATGTACAAATCTCTTGAAACTACCTACATACAAAAAATGATGAAAATGCGTTGTTCCTTTCTGGACTCACATGTATTTGAGATTTTGCCAGAAACTCCCCTCCAGTCAAGCTACTAGGGTGCACCGGTGACAAAACCCACACCACTTTTTCCTGACATGAAAAGCTATCTGTCAAAAACATCCTTGGAAGACCATAGCATGTTCAGGACAAAAGAGACAAGAACAGGAAGTTCTGCTGCAGTACCAAGGTCAGCCACAAGGAGGTCCCTATATGACGATGGCCGTTGTGTTCCTACGACTTACCAACAAACAATATATCATTACAATCCATCAAGGCATTATGAAGTTATGCTGACCACACGCACACAGGCACACCTAAAACCATACCTCCATTTCTCAAGGTGGTAAAAATTATAACATATAAAGTCCCATGTTCTAACAGAGTTTGTAGAATGAACAAAGGTGCATCGTTCCCTAACTGAATCAGCAAAACCAGATTGACAGGTGTGATAGAGGTGACACATTTGTTTACATGCAACCATCATCAAATTCATTTGTTGAATTTGTGCCGATAAAATCAAAACAAACACCACCAGTGTGACTCACGATAGTTTAAGGTGATTGGCATGTGTATGCTTTATTATACCTCACAAAAATCGTGGCCATAGCATTCTAGAACAGGAGATATTAAAACTAGTAACATAGTAACTAGTACCACAATAAGACACTAGAGGTCTAATCATTTTTGAAGTCTCATCAAGACCTACCCAGATACATATAAGTAAGAGCAATACGCGTCACTCTTGCATCATGCTCAAGAGACAGACTAGACACACAGATGGCACTGAAAACAGATTAAACCTTATTGGTTAAGATAAAAAGACAACATTTATTTCAACAGGTTGTTTTCTCTCAAACAAAGATATATGTTGAGAGATATTCTCAGAATAAAGTAGTCAACACATTCAATCTACGAGGATCAATAAACAGAGCAGGCAATCAACAGTTACTCTTACATAAACAACAGTATGTAAATGAGGGAAAGACTTTAAGATGTTTTCACATACCATACAGGCTGCATCACTGAAATCAAATAAAAGGTACAAACACGATTTATGCAATAAACGCTGTGATGTCGAGGGTTAACGTATTAAAGCAGACAATCAACACTACTGCTACACAACCAATGACGTGCAAATAGAGTGTGACTTGTTTTCACATAGCATGCAGGTCTTACCATCGAGAGTTGCACACAAACAACACCAGTCCTCAGCAAAACAAGATATTCTGTCCTGCTTGGCAGGAAAATCTCGGTAAATTTCAGAGATAAGCGTTTCCTATACAACCGAGATAAGCCCCAAACTTGCCTGTTTTCAACAAGAACCTCTAAAAAAACAAACATTTTACTTGGCACTAACTTGCATATGCAGGTGGTATTTAAATTCAATAATTGGGTGACACATTTATGTAGCACTGAAAAAGCTAAATGGTTTACTTGTCTTTTTTTAAATAACAACTATTTGAGTACACATTACAGGAGTTATAATTGCTAACCATTTCAACAGCTACAATAAAAAAACACATGTATGAAGCCCATCTTTTGAAGGTCAGGGATCAATGTTTACCAGAACATTCTACCAATCTATAGTTTATACCAGAACAAGGTGAAGAAGTCGACAATTTTCTCAACCTTTGTGTGGTGGTAAGGGCATCTCCAACCATACAAAGTTTTGATAAGAACAAGGTTAAACCTTCTTGGTGAAAGTTGAATAACAATAAAATTTATTTCTACAGGTTGTTTTCTCTTAAAGTTATATGTTGAGAGTTAGTCCCAGCATAAAGTAGTCAACACATTCAATCTACGAGGATCAATAAACAGAGCAGACAATCAACAGTTACTGTTACATAAACAACTGTATACAAATGAGGGAAAGACTTTAAGATGTTTTCACATAGCATACAGACTGTACCACTGAAATAAAATAAAAGGTACAAACACGATTTATGCAATAAACGCTGTGATGTCGAGGGTTAACATATTAAAGCAGACAATCAACTGCTACACAACCAATGATATGCAAATATAGTGTGACTTGCTTTCACATACTATAGCACCATCGAGAGCTGCACACAAACAACGCCAGTCCTCAGCACTTCTCGGCAAAACAAGATATTCTGTCTTGCTTAGCAGGAAGATCTCGGTAAATTTCAGAGGTAAGCGTTTCTTATACAATAGAGATAAGCCCCAAACATTCCTTATTGCCAAATAGAATCTCTAGATAGAAAACATAAATTTTACTTGCACTAACTTGCATAATAATATTATGCAGGTGGTATTTCAATTCAATTCTTGGGGTGAAACATTTACATGTATGTAGCACTGAAAAAGCCAAATGGTTTACATGCCTTTTTTCTAATAAGTATTATGGGACTTATAATTGCTAACCATTTTAACTACACAAAAGACCATACACGGGTATCAAGCACATTTTTTAAGGTCAGGGCTCAATGTTTACCAGAACATCTATAGTTTTGATCAGAACAAAAGAGACGATTTTTCTCAACCTTTACAAAGTTTTGAACCACTGCTTACTAGTAGCCTTGACAGAAGCAATTTTCTGAAGTTGTGGGTTTTTACCATTTGGAGGCTTTAGTTATATCTAAAATAGACCATCTTAGGTCTTCTTTATTGGTTAGCAATTACATATTATTTTCCTGTACATGACTTACCTACTGCTGCCTACATTCAAACATAGTGACGTTTGCAAACAACACATGCAACTGCATAATATTACGTCCACACGCTACAATCTGATTTGTCACAATAATACATATGGAAATGGGTAAAGGCTAATACACTAGTATTGAATGTGGGCAAAATATGGCGCCACCGTTAAACATACTATATTAATGAGTATCTGTAACATCTATCTATACATAAAGAACTTATATAACTGCTTGGTACGTCGATCGATGGGTAATGGTTGTGTTGGGCTCCCTAAATTGAAAATAGCAGGTGCGCTGGCATCTCTACAAAATCGACAGATTTCATCACAATCGCAGCAGAAGCTAAGTGATGCAGTCACTATTTTTGGTCACCTGGGCTACCGTCTATTCCCTTTGGGTTCTCAATCACACCTTAACAGACTAAAAGTTCTCCAAAAGAGGCGGCCAATATTTTGAGCTGAGCTTTCTGCTGCCAGTTAATTCAATTAATCTTTTGCTAAACGTATTTTTGGCGAAACATCTTTGTTTATTGATAAAATACGTAGTATTGTGGTCAGCTAGATTTTCGCGTTGGCAACTAAAACACACAATTCCCTTTGTTTAATCGGCATGTAATTGTATACGTTGTTTGCAGCCATGCCTGTGATGATGCACGTATTTTTATAATTACCGTAGCTGTTTTCGTGGTCAATGTAGTATTTCAGAAGCACCCTTACATTTAAGATGCTTTTGGGACTGGCCGCAAAAATACAGATCAAAATGTACTTGTACAATGTGTTAAAGAAGGTTAGACATCCTGGAAATTAGATAGTCAAGAAAAGCAACTGATAGGGATAGACTTTGAAAAAAGTTAGACGTTTAAATACGATCCACTATGTTTTATCAGTGACTAACGGGATCTGGAGTTGAATGCGTATTAATCCAACATCTTAAAATACATATGTAAATGGAGACAATTATTAAGAAAATTCAATAAAAAAACTAAGACAAGCTAAAAACATATTGTAGGTAAAAACACAAGACTTGTTTCTGATCCAAATCCATTCTTATTTTTTTAAATACCTGCTTACTACAGATTCCGTTAGCCACTGCAATGGCGAAAAGTACTGGGTGCATCTTGAAACGTCAGGCAGTTTTCAAAATCTACCCAGCAGCTTTAGTAACGGTTTTCTCCTGTACTCGGATCATGGGTTTTAAAACGACAAGTAAAACATTGTTTTATTTATAGTGATACATAAAAAATTGCCATCCGACTTAAAGGGTGCACATATAAGTATTATAACCATTTTTGTCAATATTATGCCTGTGCAGAGCTTTACAACAACATGGATAAAGAACAGGCAGGTGTGCTGATATTCCTTCTGGTCATCCTAGAGGTGTTTGGACCAACAGAAAGTCGATGTTTTACCAAACATCGTTGCCACTTTAACAGGATGAACCTCACTAGCATTCCACAGAACCTACCGCGCCATGTCAGTTACTTGTCTTTGACACATAATCTGATCACTACCTTAGACCAGTCTGATTTCTTACAGTACAACTTGAAAAATTTACATTTGGATTTCAATCATATCACCACAATCAATAACAACGCATTTCGTTTCTTATCGCGCTTGGAGACGTTAACTCTTTTCACAAAACAAACTGACAGACCTTAAACCTAACATGTTTATCAGGTTAGCAAATTTGATAACCCTTTTTTTGCAGGCCAATGTCATCAATGATGTCCAGGCCGGAACGTTTAATTCAATGTTGCAACTAAAACGCTTGCACATGAATCGCAACAAAGTAACAAATCTTACAGATAACATGTTTGCAGGGTTACAAAATTTAGAATTCCTTGATTTATCAACTAATAAAATCAATGACATTCAGACAGGAACTTTCAATCCAACTTCAAAGCTTAAAACCTTGAAGCTAGGAGGCCGTCATAACAAACTCTCAAGCCTCAGACCTGGGATGTTTACAGGTTGGGTAACTTGGAAAAGCTAGATCTACGAATGGTTCCCATCAATGACATTCAGAATGAAACTTTCAATCCAACTGGAAAGCTTAAAAGTTTGTATCTGAGTGGGGAACAAACTATCAAACCTCAGAGCTGGTATGTTTTACTGGGTTGGGTAACTTGGAAAAACTAGATCTGCAATCGAATGACATTCATGACATTCAGGTTGGAACATTTCTTCCAACATCACAACTGAAAATCTTGAACCTAACTTCTAACAGGCTAACAAAACTGGGATCTAACACGTTTTCAGTGTTGAGAAACTTACAGGAACTCTATTTAGGATCTAATAACATCAATGACATACCAGCCGGAACACTGACAGGCATTGCAAGTCTGTCTGTGCTAGAGTTGGTAAGCAACAACATTACATCGTTGCCCATGATGGCCTATAAAAAGCTGTCATCGTTGTCTAAAGTCAAAATTGATAAGAACCCCTGGCAGTGTGACTGTAGGATGCTTCCCTTCAGGAAACAAGTGACCGGGTCTCATCCATTTGAAAACCAGATGATTTGTTCCCAACCTGCCAAATTTATCAGGGAAAAGCTCAAAGATATTGATCCTGCAGAACTGATTTGTAATCGCAAAGCAAACATTGTGAGATTTGAGGGAAACAAACTTTATAACATTTCTACCCAGGGGGATATTCTGGTGTGTGAAGCTTCAGGTATCCCCACACCAAACATCACAGTGACTCTCTCATCTGGACTAAACAAAACCGTACAGTCAGGTGGGAGGGTGACTGAGGGTGCGAATGGTACAATCATTATAAACGTTACTGCAGATGCTGCTGGCCTGTACGTCTGTACTGCAACAAATCCTGTTGGTTCTACATTTGCCTCACTGTTTGTGTATGCCCGACAGGAAAACCCTACAACTTTAGAACCAGCCTTAACATCTTCACCACGTTTTACTATCATCAGAATTTCAGGCAAGCCAGAAAGCAGCAATGATGAGGATTCTGCTCTTAGTTTCTCCCTAACTATTCATGTTGTTGGTATTGGTGTTATAGTAGGCACTGGCCTCATTGGTGTCATTCTCGTGATTAAGTGGCACATAGAAAGGACCAAGAACCTCCCTTCGCATCCAGACCCAAAAAAACAACATATTTGTAACAGCTATAAACCCACAATATGAGTCTACTGTTTCAGAGCTTGCATATGAAGATACGGACAAGTTGTCACCAACAGGCCACACAGAACCCAAAACAGCTATTGTAACAGATCAGACAGCACTG